CTGATGCGAAGAGATCCACCTCCGCCCTGCCAAATACACTCCAAATCATATTGACTGTCAAAGGGTGTAATCTCCACTCCCCGTGTATTACCCCGCCCCTCGACAGTAAATCCGCGCCGTAATTCAGGCGTCCGGGGAAATGTACTGCCCGGATGGAGAGGAGGTGTCTATCTGCCCACAGAAGAAGGTCTCTCGCCAGCCGCAGCAGCGGCCGCGAGCTCACACCCCCTTGGTGATTTATAAACGCTACCACTGTCATGCTGTCCGTCCTGATGAGAACGTGACGGTGGAGAATGTCCGGAAGAAAGCACTCGAGCGCTAGGTGTACAGCACGGAGCTCCAGACAGTTTATGTGCCACAACTTCTCCGTTTCTGACCACGTCCCGAAGGCTGGTCTGCCGTCGCATACGGCTCCCCAACCCGTGCTCGATGCATCTGTCGTAACAGTTTTTCTCCTGATCACTTGGCCAATAGGAACACCCCGGTGATACAGTGTCATATCGAGCCAAGGGGCCAGCGCTTTCAAGCAGTCGCGCGTTACTCATACGCGCAAGGTGCCCGCGCGCCATGCGCTCTGTGGCACGCGACTTTTCAGCCAGAGCTGAAGCGGTCGCATATGCAGGAGTCCTAATTTGCACACTGTTGAGGCGGCAGCCAGGCAGTCTGACCCCCCAAGCGCCGCCTTTGAGTGGGTGCGACCCAGGCAAAAGACGCACGATTCGTGGCCATCGGAGAGTTCGATTGGCTCTGGGCAGGAGAGGCAATCGCGAGAGGTCATCCTTGTCCGAAGCTCACCGGAACACAGCAGGGGAGAGAAGGCGTGTCCGCTGCAGCGTGTAGATCACGGTGAGTACTCTTGATGATAGGCTTCTTGCTTCTAGTAGAAGGTTGGCTGAAGAAAAAGATTCTGAATGGATGACGTACAAGCGCTGCTTTATATAGAGTGGGAGCCCCTCATATTTCGCGCGCTTGAACGCCATTGGCCAGTTTCACTGGCGTGATTCAATAAGGCTTCAGTAGTATTTGGAGAAAAGGGTAATTCCCATAGCAATGTAGAGTGACCAAATCAAAAGGGAACTAATAACAAGGTACTAGTAACTAATAGAACTAAATGGGGACAGGAACAGGAAGGACCAAGTAAGGGCAAGGAAGGCACATGGGGAGCAAAACACACACAAAACAAGGAACAGAGTCTGACACTAGCTTGGAGATGAGTTGGGTGTCATTTTAGATGACCTTTCAGGTGTTTTTAATTATAAAAACCTTTATAATCTATAATAGCATTAAACTTATTTAATGTTTCCTATGAACCATGTTTTCTTGGGTATCAAGACGGGGTAATTTTGTGGGGTATAAACACATTCATTCAACAGAATCTCTGCTTGGAAATAGTTACCTGTAATATTCTGGCCAAATTAAAGATACACTGTGTAGGAATTTTGCACATGTGATAATGTAAGCACCATTAATGACCCCTTATGTTCAATAAACAAGGCAGAATGAGCACTTGTGATCCTAATTTAATAAATTTAGGAGCACCTTCTGATCAATGACAATAATTAACCTTCCCATTATGAGGTGATATTTGACTTTATAATCAATGAAACTCTAGACTGCACAATTAGTCTTATTTACATTGTGTCTACACTTTGTTATAATGAGAGGATAACTCAGCACTGAACAAATACTACAGTGTTAATTTATTAAATTAATACAGCTTTATCCATATAACATCGTCTGTTATTGCATCTGTTAAAGTAAGATGTTAATATTTTCGACAAAAATCACGATTCATCCTAGATAATTTACTTGAAGCAGTCTGCTTGCTGTGTCTGTTCTGTGAGCAGGACGCGCACCAGTATCTGAATATGTAAAGGAACAGTTCACAAAAATATCATTCTCAGGTTGTTTTAAACCCGTATACTGTCATTGTTTCTGTGGAACACTGATTTTTAGGAATTCTGTGAAGTGATTGTTTGTGTACTGAATACTTTGGGTAATTTAGCAAGAACCATTAAAGACCACTTCCTTTTAGACCAATAAGTATCATTAGGCTGATAATGCACACAACAACATCTCATTTACTGTTTGGCGCAAAATACCGCAAATTGTACATTTGCCAACAGCAAATGACTGCTTTCCTTTTTTAACTTTAATAACTTGTTTGCCTGTTCCTGGCTTGAGCTGAATTTGAGCAATTAGATTTTCTGAGTACGGTGAAAATAAGTGAACACTCCTTCATGCTAAATGTACATTTTGAATTGGACTAACTGAGCCTTTGGGAATAAACCACTGCAAGAAACAAATATGTTCCATTTCCTTTAATTAAAATAAAACCCTTTAAAGGTGGAAGAACATGCTCTATATAGCAGCACAACCACAAAAACAAGGTTATGTTTTTATGGAGTATGATAGCTTGGAAACAATTCAACATGAGCGTGTCCTCATTAGCTCACAGTGAGATGGAAACCTGACACTTTTAGTGAGCAACCATCACTGATACTACTGCTCATAACTGAAGTTACTGATTTGAACAAACACCTAAGCATACATATTATATTTTGTTTGTCCTACAGTCATAAATTATATCTCAAACCGTGTGGCTTGATATTACTTTGCTGATTTGGGTGGAAAAGTTCTAGATTTACACTAAAGGACCTGAAACATCTCAAGAGACTAAAATATGATAGAGACTTGGGCTCTTTTGACTTGAGCGACAGCAAAACACTCAAAACACCTCAGCAATTAGATAAAAACACTACTGAAACCACCTGAAGGAACAGTTCTCGCAAAAATGAAATTCTTATTTCATTTCAAAAATGAAAACCATATTTACGGACATATCACTTGAGACGTACTGATATAAAAGTGATAATTAAACAGTATTTGGAGTACTACTTGTGCATAATGCACATTTCTTAATATTAAGCCTAAAATGTGTTTTAATGTCACTATTGATGAGGAATGTATGATCTTTGAATAATATCAGTCTTTTAATGCAAGATATTTAAAGTGTACATGAGGTATACTTGCAATAGTTCCACTTTAGCACAATCAAATATATTTCAGTATATCTTTAGTTGGCACTACTTCTGCGCAATAAAAGTGCAGTAAGTACAAAATTAGTTTCAATTTAGCAGACTTTGCAAAAAAGTACAATTGCAGCATATTTTTATTAAGTACATGAATATGTAAATGTATTTGTAGTATACTTGGCATGAAATAAATGCATTTCAAATATAGTTTAGTATATTTATTTTTCACTAGGGGTGACTTCTTTTATAAACAAACCAAAAAAAAAATCTTACCAACCCCCAAAAAAGCAGCAAATCTGTTGACTTGGTTTCAAAAATACATCTGAATAAATCTTTCACAAATCGATCTAGTAAAGATCTGGTTGCACCAGTTAACTAATTTTTACTGTTGCTTCTTTGTCAGGCAGGAACAGGTAGGCGCCGCTCTTGTCTTTATTGCTGGTGGTGCCATACAAAACAAACTCCACCTTGACCAGGTCCTCAGAGTCATCCTCCTTCAACCTCATTTTCTGTAAACAAGAGACGTTTGAACATTTCAGAGTCGTTCCTAGATGTATGAGCTTACAACAAACCCAGAGAGCTGCAGTCTATGATCTAACCTCTAAAAGTCCTGTAGCTGTAGAGATGGAGAGTTTCAGGTGAGGATTTTCAATGTGCACAGGAGCCGCATCTTGTTGGTAGAACTGTCGGAAATGCTCCAGTTCACTGACTGAAATCTGCCTGCCATCCTGAAGAAACATGTACTTAGCAGCTTCTGTCCTTGGCTCCATTCCTTCCATCAGCTGGTACACGCTCAGTCCCAGAGGAGCAGCTTGAGCCACAAACGACAACTGTCGTGGAATAAACAAACACGTTACAAACACCATGAACTGGCATAAGGAGCATTTAGATGACCTCAAACTTCAAATATGGACTAGTTTGAAGAATCCACAATCCTCCCATTGCTCTTTTTCATAAACAATACACCCATAACGCTGTGATATGATGCACTGATGTAGCAGATCTCACCTGGAAGACGTCGGCAGCAGCATGACTGGCATCATTCCACACTGCGCTGACTTGAGCACGGACCACATGACCCAGAGCATTCAGCACGCGCACTTTAGGAGTCGTCACATATACTGTAACCATGGACATCCTGGCTTGCTCTGTGGGGTTGTAAACCACCAACAACCTGGGAACCGCAAAAAATTAAGCATATTTATGAAGCATTATATGCCACACAGGTTCTGCTACCTTTTGTCATCCACTTCATCATGTTCATCTACTTCAACACATGTACCATGAATCCATTTTTAACTCAACATTATTCTATATTGTGCTAATTATTATGCTATAAAGCACAACAGCAAGGTTCCCAAAGTAAAAATCCTATTAGTTTTTTTTCTATAGAAACATTTATTTTTAAGAAAATTTATTGAAAAAATTGAAGGAATTGTTGATTTACCTTGGTTTTTCATGAACTTCAAAAATTATTTTGCGAGGTAATGCATCTTGGGATGGCTGAACATCATCCTGTAATACAGAACCAGCAAAAATGTAATGTTCACATAGCAATTACCAAATTTCGGAGTGATGCCATATTATGGATGTACAATATGAACACTCACCATCTGAAGAAAGGGATTTGAAGGATCATGGAAGTATGTTTGTTTGTCTTTGAGCACCAACCAGTGAGCTGAGCTCACAATCACTCGCTTCACATTCAGAATAGAGTGAAACAACCTTAGAAATAACAAAGATCATGATGCTTTACCGTGTTTTTACCATATCTCTTTTACCTGATAATATCCCATAATAAGAATCAGAAGTTCGAACGGCTGCGCGAAGCCTCTTCCTCTTTACTACTAGTTTTAATGCGAAATAAACATGAATGAACATCTCCTCAGGTAATCGCCCAATCAGTGTTTTTTTAACCACAGAAAGACGTCAATAAAACTGTTTGTAAACAAAATGTCACATAGCATTTCATTTACCTCAGGCAAGTCATCAGTGTCCACAGCTCGTTAGTTCGCTAGAGAAATTAAGTCTATAGAAGAGCATTTTGCGAAATTTTAGACTATATATTCTCATCATATTTTACTTTACCTGTTAGTGATATCTTAATTAATTAATGTATGTTTAAATAAATCTGTTATGACAGCCACTGTGTAAATATTTCAACAACAAATAGAAATTTTATAATTTAGAAGTTAATTTAAAAACTGCATTATGTGCAATTTACATGTTTGCATTCTATTTTTCTTTAAGCTGAGTATTTATTATTATATATAAAAATAAATAGTAAATTTTACATTTAAGTTTGGATTCTGTTGTTAATTGTAACCTTAAAGTAATGTAAAAGGGCTCCCTATAGTTTTTAGAGCATAAGCTTAGAATTATAATTAGGCTATAATTGAATTTATTTAAAGAAAGAGCAATTTGTTTAGTAAACCACAGTTTAATATAAAAAATAATAACAATTATGTTTAGTTTTCCCCCCGTTGTAACGAACCCATACCGAACCGCGACGTCAAAACCGAGGTACGTACCGAACCATCTTGTTTGTGTACTGTTACACCCCTAGTAGGGATACATTACATCATTCAAAAGTGAGAGTAAGAACTTTTTACGTTTTGACTTTTTAAATATTTCAAATAATTCTGTTCTTTTGAATTTGCATTCATCAAATAACCCCGAAAAAAACAAACAAATATTAAGCAGCACAACTGTTTTCTACATTGATAAAAATAAGAAATGTTTTTTGACCAAATTAGAATATTAGAATGATTTCTGAAGGTTCATATGACACTGAAAATTGAGTATAAAGACTGCTAAAAATTCAGATTTGCGATCATGGGAATACATTTTAAAATGTAAAAAATAAAAATTTTTAAAATAAAATAAAAAAGTTTAAAAAAAGAAACATTTATTTTAAATTGTAATATTTCACAATTTTACTGCCGTATTTTTGAAGCTTTGATCAAATACAGTGAATACAGCTTTTCGTAATATTAGAACTTTTGCAGCTAGACAATATGTGAATGCCCAACCAGATATGAGAATTACCAATATTTTTTCAGTAAACGTTATTCTTTAAACACTTTCTGTATAATGTATAATAAGATTTTTTGTTTTTCTGATAGTTGTTTTACTAATTTTTTTAATAATCATTTAGGTTGATCAGCCCTAGAAAATGTACGATGTTTTCTTTTAAACATATTGGCGGCCTTTTGTTTTGTGGATATATAATGCATTCATTATTTTGTCATTGTGCAATGGTTATTAATCAGATGGCAATGACTGCTTTACGAGCAGTTTGAAAGTTCTACCCGACTGACACTTTGGGCTGAAATGCAAAAAAACGTATGCAAATATTGGTGGTAGTGAAAAGGTGACATATGTCTTCTACACATTCACTTTAAGATATTTCAAGAAAGAGGCACTACCTGGTTCCATAGTCCACAACCACCCAGTCTTTGCCCGTGCCCGTGATGGCATCATGATGTTGGAAGAGACCTAGATTGCGTCTGGCTTCTGTCAGTAACTTGTAATTATCCACTGAAGGGTAATCATTGGGCTGGCCGTACTTCTGAATGTTGGCCAAGGTCAGAGAGTAGAGGACCTCAGCTGCCCTGCGGACAAACATGAAGTGACATATGAAACTCCCTCCCATGCAAGATCAAAAGTCCCCTAAAATCCACACAGAATAAATCCACAGTGTTACAAGAATCCATCTGGCATCAAAATACCTCCTGAATCCGGCTAATGTTCACATTCCAGTAAAAGAAAGATAATAGTCTGGTATGGTCACTGCTGTGTTGGGAGTGTCCGAGTGAGAACAACAATAACAGCAGAATCTCTCCACATTATAGTAACAATACAGGTGTCGTCTCTACAAATAATGACCTTCTCAAATTTTCTAAAGGAGATGAAAATCTATAGCTGGGCGAACCTCACAAAACCTGTTGAACATGAGTCATATTTCACATCTTAAAAAAAAGACATGAGGCCTATATTTGTTCTTTAAGGCAGTGGTTCTCAACCAGGGGCCCATGGCCTCAGCAAATTTCCAATTGGTGCGCAGGAGGACTTAAAAAGTATTTTAATTAAAAAACAGGGGTAATATATAAAAAAATAATCTAACTCTAATCTAAATTAAAATGCTACATATACATTAACTATCAATAATTACTAAATCAGTAACTAATACCTAAAAATCAATAACTGTTGATTATACAGTTCTTGAAACATCTGGAATCACAAAATGAATGATGGTTAATTTTTTTTAAACATGAATGCTCTCAGTTTCTTTAAAACGTCTGAAAAGAAGCAGCTTAAATACAGGAAAATGTTTAGCCTACATTGGAGTGGGGCTTTGATTATTATGTTAAACAGCGGAGGTCTTCGAGTCAAAAATGTTAAGAACACCTACTTTAAGGAAATGAAGCCAATTTTTGCATGTTAAAATATGTAAATTATTTTAAAATAAATACATTTAAATGTACAGAATTCACACATGATATTAGCAGTTGCTTTACTAGTTTTCTTTATGCTGATTTAAATAAAATAATTGTATTACAGTAAAGAGAATCTAATGAGAATATTTAATTTCCAGTAAAATGCAGGTAACACATTTTATTTTCTTTATGAAAAATATCATTTCTTTCTTTTTTTTTTTTTTAATGTTGGGGTGAAATGTGACATGGACATGTTTTCTTGAGATTGACCCAGATAAGGTTTCAGTGAGTGACATTTTATCGACAAGTGCAGAAAATTATGGCCTCTAACCTGCGTACATCAGTAAACTAGAGTGACACAATTATCCATGGTTTAAATCTATTATTTTTACCCAAATAGATCTTTGAAGTGAGTTGATAAAGCAAGATGGTTTCTGCAGATCAAACATTTCATCATTTCTACTGCATGGTTCACAGACCATAGTTAAAAGATAAAAACACAGTACATGTGACCTACATATTTCACATCAAACATACATCTGCTTTCTTCTCCCACAAGAACAGCCAAACATTGACTTTAATAATTAATTAAACATGAAATGACCTTGGACTGAATATCTCTAATCAATCTACTGTGTGTGTGTGTGTGTGTGTGTGTATGTGTGTGTGAGAGAGAGAAATTGAGCAGAGCTGAACAAAGTCCAATTTGCTGAGTGAAAGAAGCCATCGTGTAGAACGGGGAATAGTTTAACAAATGCATACTTATGAAAACTGTCTCCAGCCTACATTTAGACACCCATCAAAATGCAAATACTGTCTTAAATAGAGTTCTCCGCAGTTATCACATTTTACCATAACAATGAAATGCAGGACAGCCACTGACATACACAAACACATACACATACATACAGGATGTATAGAATACATAATATAAAAAAAATAGTTTTAGATAACGATGACAACACTGCTCTACTGGTATATGTAAACAAAAATGTCTGTAGAGGAGCATACAGAAAAATCAATATGTATCACTGCAACGTCTCATTATCTAGAACCAAGCCAATTAACAAGAGCTGCGAAGACATTTCAACATGCTGTAAAGGATAAATAAAAAATAAATAAATAACAAGGAGTTATTTCTTTCACATTCCACAAATTAGCGATAATATTCCTTATTTCTTAATAAGATCAATTTTTATCTTTCTGGGGCCAATATCATGTTAGAAAGAAGTCAAGGAGAAAAGTTTGTAAAGCACCCACAGATGAGAAGGTGGCACAGTCAATGGCCATGGTCAAATACTGAATAAATACTAAAGCCATTGAGTTGGTGGCTCAAAACCGACTGCTTTACTTTGCTTTGACCTTGTCACAGGGCTTCAGACTTATCGTGACAACACAGACATGTGACCTTCAGCTTTGTGTGTTAATTAGCAGCATACAGCATTGCAAGAAAAGATGGTAATGTCTGTTATCACAGAGCTCCATTTCCTATAGACAGACTCAGTTCAGGGGCCAGTTGCGTAAACTTCTTAGACTAGTCTTAAAAGTTAGTCATCAATTTTTTTTTTTTTTTTAAATCAGTTACATAAAACTTGAAAATTTGAAAAAATGCTATTTTCATGACTGCTAGTATATGTGTGTTAGGTCATCTGTATGTTAGTGTACTTATAAAAGTTGATAAAATAAACTTTTAGCAGATAAAAACATTTCAAATTTACAGTCTTTTTCTGATGACCAAACAGACCAAAAATATTTGGGTCTCTAAACTCTGAGTATTTAGAGAAAAAAGTGATCAGACTTTGAAAAAGCTGAATTTCCAGAAAATGTCATTAGTTTATACAATATGAATTGCAAATGTTATTGCACATATTAGCATGGCATTCTGGTTCATAATTAACTTTATGTTAATTTTGAACTCATGGTCTCAAATGCAAATCAAGTCCAGGCATATGGAAATGGTATTTTTTATTGTTTCAGCTTTTGGACATTGAGACCCATACCAAACATTTTTATGCAGTGCATTTATGCAGATTAATGCAGTGCATTTCAAATTTGGTTCTTCACATTTTCTCGTTGGTGCCATGAATAGCATTGTTGGTGGTACAGAGAGAAATAAAAGAAATCGTCTTTGCTTCCTGTAAACTTTTGCAGATCATTTTCCAATGTGGTAAAACTTCTCACTGATCTACTGTTTCAGCAATGAGTATCGAACTTTTGTTCAGTTGCACACATTAAAATTTAATAACTCAGTTTTATGTATTTGCTGAAGCCAATTTTTACCTCCATTTGGCACTTGGCAAGTGTTAACTTGTGCACTGTCACTGTAGAGATTCACGTAGTGCATTTGGATTTGTTAAAGGCTTACCTGAGGTGTGATTCCAGCACTCTGTCCAGGCGTTTGTAGAACGGCCGTGAGGTGAAGTATCCGCTCCAGTAGTGATCGTCTCGATCCGCGTAAGTGAAAAAGTCTCCACTTAGCACAGGCAAAGCCAACTGGCCCACATTAATGCCAACCGGATCCATGCCAGTGCTTTTACGCAAGGCCTCGAAATAATCTGAAATAGTTCCAAATTGGGCCTGCAAAGAGAAACAAAAGAGATACATAAGAAAAAATAAAGGCTGAAAATATACCAAGACTTCAAAGTGTGGCCAATTGACCTATCGGTAAGCCCCTCCCCTCAAACGCAGGTGAGCCAATGGCAGTCGAGTATCAGTTGCACGGGGAGCAGAACTCGGACATCTTTAGATTTCAGCACCATAGAGAAACATTGGAAGATCCGAAGCTCACATCGGATTCATGGTGTTTATGCTCCAAAAATGGAAAAACGATGTGCCTAGGGTACTTGTAAGTAACACTAATTCCAGTTATCCTGAGAGGATAGGCAA